CTTGGCCTTGGTGTTATCAGCACCGCACTCTCCCGAGTGAGCCACAGGGCCGGCCCTAGAACCAATTCTAACAGAGCCAGCTATACTGTAGACTTAGTGACATACTATTTTTTTTTTTTTTTAAAGATGACCGGTAAGGGGATCTTAACCCTTGACTTGGTGTTGTCGGCACCATGCTCAGCCAGTGAACGAACCAGCCATCCCTATATGGGATCTGAACCCGTGGCCTTGGTGTTATCAGCACCACACTCTCCCAAGTGAGCCACAGGCCGGCCCATGACATACTATTTTGAAACTGCAAAATTTTATTGAGTGTTTACCATGTGCCAGAAACTGGGATAATTACTTTGCGTACATTACTTAATTTAAGCATCACAGCATCTTTGTGGAGTAGGTATTGATTATACTAATTTTATAGATGAGAAAATTAAGATCCAGACCAATTCCATAGCCTAGTGATCATACACCTTAAAACTTGTATCTACCTCCAAGCTGCTATAAATAATTGAAGAACAGAGACTCAAAACAAATCACATAAATAAAATTATTTGATACATTTTTTTAAGGATAATCAAATCCAAAATGAGGACTGACAGCAAATATAGCACTAGCTATTTAACACTAAAATCCTTTTAACCAATTAAAGGACAGTTGCCAAATGAAAAACATGTATAACATTGATAGTAATAATAGCTTTACTATATAGATCACTCTTATAAACAGTCATTAAGAAAAAGAAAAATAACCTCACTAAAAACAATAGGCAAAAGACTTAACAGGCAACTCACTAAAGAATGCAAGTGGCCCAGTAAGCCTAAGAGGAAATTTTCAAACTCACTGATATTCAAATAAATTAAAGTTACAGTAAAAGAATATTTTTCACCTGTTGATCTGCAAGAGAACAAAAAACTTAAAATGATAACTGTTGGCCAAGTTGCTAGGAGAAAGGTTCTTCCAGAGTCCTTCCACTGCTAGTATTACCTTTTTTTTTTTTTTTAAGTAATTTGACTTAGAAATTCAACATTTAGAAATTTACCCTAAGAAAATAAAATTAAGAGTATGTATAAATATTTAGCCACAGAAATGTTCCTCTACCATTACCCAAGATAGAAAAAGTAGAAATAGCCTAAATATCTACCAGAAGGGGATTGGTTAAAGAAGTATTTGGTATGTTCATACATTTAAATAATGACTTAGATGGGTATTTGTGACTGAAAGATAATTCATTCACATTAAACCAAGTAAAATTTTAAAACACTATTTTTTTCTACATATTTATACTTTTGCACACATGCTTGAAAAATATCTAGAAGAGGCCGGCCCGTGGCTCACTCGGGAGAGTGCAGTGCTGATAACACCAAGGCCACGGGTTCGGATCCCATATAGGGATGGCCGGTTAGCTCACTTGGGAGAGCGTGGTGCTGACAACACCAAGTCAAGGGTTAAGATCCCCTTACCGGTCATCTTTTTTAAAAAATATATATATATATATCTAGAAGGACATGAATTATAAATGAAAATGTTAACAATGATCTCTGAGTGGTAGGATGTAATAGCTATATATTTTATTTTCTTTCTTTTACATTTTTAAAATTTTTCTGCAACAAAATAACCTTCCTTTGGGGGAGGTAGTGTTATTCTCTTGATCCGTACAGATTCTTTGAGATTTATCTGTAATTCATTGTTTCTCATGTTTTTTAGGTAGTGAAAATGAAAAGTAATCTGGAACGATTCCAAGTTACAAAGCTCTACCCATTCCAAGAAAAAATTCGGAGACAGTATTTAAGCACAAATGTAAGGCAACAATCTGATTTTGGCTTCGTTTTCTTTGTCTTTGTGATAAAGTGATGTTGAAGTTAATTTTGTTTTCATGTAAATGAGTAGATACTTTGTTCTTTTCTGTTGGTTGGATACCGGTTTTTAATTATAAGATGAATCATGCATTCAGAAGAGTATGTAAAATACATATATATTTTTTAAATGATAAAACAAATATCTTTATACTCACCCATCAGGGAAAGTAGTAGAATATTATCATAACCCATAGATATTCTCAGAGCCCCTGTCCAGTTGCACACCACCCCCTCCTAGCCTTCAGACGTCATGAGTACCCAGGCATTTGTAATAGACATCCCCAGGCTTTTCTTTATAGGTTTACAAGCAGTCTGGAAAAACTGAGTAGCAAGCACAAACCTAGTCACATAAAGGCAGCATTGCCACTGTCTGACAATAACCTGAACAGTTCCTGGTTATATCTGGCTTCAGGTTCCCTGATTGTTTACAGCAGGGAATGTCCGTGGGTGAGGTCATGAGTGAGAAGTGCCACTTTGTGCCCAGGATTTTTTAACATTGTTTTTAAAGCAAGGCTAGAGCAACCACACTAGGTAATTTTTGTGTGTGTTATGCAAGTCCTGACATAGATGACCTGGGAAGAATATTATACTGTAGTCCCCCCTTATCTGCAGAACATAACATTCTAAGATCCCTAGTGGATTCCTGAAACCATGGATAGTACCAAACCCTGTATATACTAACAGGCGGGCAGCTTATACAACATGGATATGCTGGACAAAGGGATGATTCACGTCCAAGGTGGGACAGAAAAGGGCGGCATGAAATTTCATCACGCTACTCAGAATGGCATGCAGTTTAAAACTTATTAATTATTTATTCCTGGAATTTTCCATTTAATATTTTTGGACCACGGTTAACCACAGGTAACTGAAACCTCAGAAAGCAAAACCACAGATAAAGGGTGAATACTGTATACAAACATAACATTTGGTATTTCAATAACTAGGGTAATTGAAAGGGGAGTTTTACAATTGAAAGCTGAAAAATCTTCATCAGTAAGACTTTTAGTGTTTATTCCTTAAATGTTCTAAGCAGGTTTTCTCAAAATATAAAGCAGTATTAGTTAGAAAAGAAGCTTGGAGTGTCTTCCCACATCAGGGCAGAGATGACAAACAGGTTTCAGGTATTGTGTCTTCTGAGTTGATTATAACTACCTGAGCACTGTGTTGAAAGGGACTCTTAGGCTGTGTACAGCCTTATATAAGGATATGGTATTCCTCTCTTCCAATTGGTACTGTAGAGCCAGTGCTGACCATCAAGCAAATAATTTTTAAAAATAAGCAAATAAAGTTTATAGTTTGCAGACAGAGCTAAATAACATAGCTCTCCCCCACCCTTCAGTAGCAACAGGTGTGGCAAATAAGGGGGATTTTTTTTTTTTTTTTTTTTTTA